CTGACTAATATTGACTACACACCCTCCTGAATCACTATGACTTTCAATTGTTATTCCAGCATTAGCACCCAACTTGGAGTTAAGAAGTTACGAGTCCAAATAGCTTTAAAAGTGGTTGCAAGTAGTTGGAGGAGCGCTTTATTTACTGGACCGATCAAAAAACAGTAGCTTTGGTAGTGGTTTAGGACGTGACACTCCTCTGGAGCCATTGTTTGCCCTCTTTAACGCTTACGGGGCAAAAATCTAACCGCAAATACTGTCTGTAACACTCACATTAACTTGAAGCTTAACTCCAAATATGTGACGAAATGACCAAAAGTGGTGACAAAATTCATGATTCAGTGATATTAGCAGTTCTGTTACAAAGGAAAGTGGCCTGAGCAGTCGCCGGCAGTACTGAAACCCCAAAAGAGGAAATGTGTGAGGTGGCAGCTGTGTCATTATTTCAGTTGAAGTAGGAGAGAATAAGATGACAAAAGGCTAATGATTCCCATTATGAGTGGCGTTTGCTCGGCAACAGTTGGGGAGAGTTGCATCAGAAGGAAGCGTTTCATCAGGGGGGGTGAAACGCCGCTAAAGGCCGGTAAAAGTGCCTTGTTGTTAACAGCATGTACTGTACTGAGTACACCCTGGCATTAATTATAAATCGGAGCACGCACGCCTGCACCCGACGCGGTCAGAAGACTCAGCCGTGTGAACGAGGATCAGGATAACCGGCGTCACATGACGGTGTCTGTGCGTAATCTGCTGCTTTGAAGCTCCTCTCAGTACCTGATGAGGTCCGACGGGAGCTCAGGACATTGATCCTACTTTACGTTCAAGTACTCTGGAGCTTGGGAGGGGGTTGACGCCAAAAAGAAACCTTTGACAATGCAAAAAAAATTAAATAAATAAAGGCTAATCGACTGTTTTCCTTCATGAAGCCTCACGTTGGCATCCGATCAAACGTCCTTCCATCCATCCATTATCATAACCACTTATTCTCTAATGGGGTTGCGGGGGGAACTGGAGCCTATCCCAGTGGTCTATGGGCGAGAGGCTTGATACAGCCTGGACGGTCCGTGAGTCCATTGCAGTGTCACACAGAGACACACAAGGACCTACAACCACTCATATTCACACTTACTCCAAAGGTCAAATTTGGAATGTCCAGTGAACCTAACATGCAGGTTTTTGGACGGCGGGAGGAAGCCGGAGAACCCGGAAAGAACCCACGCAGACACAGGGAGAACATGCAAACTCCACACAGAAACGTCCTGGTTCCCCCGGGGGACTCGAACCCAGAACCCTCTTCCGGTGAGCCGATGGTGCTAACTACCACACAACATGGTGATGGCCATTGGTAACACTATTAAACGTGACTCCTGTGCGGCCTTTGGTTGGATCCTCGTTTCAGCAGCGAGGATAAAAAGTATCCGCGCCATCTATCCTGACCTGAGTTGTTGGCCGATGGATTTCCAAACTAGCGGGGTGCACCATGTGAAGGTTAATGGCATTTTTTATATCCCTGCTGGGCTCCAGGGACATGACAATCAGCTATTTAACTCGCGTACTTACAAAGGCCAAAGACACTATGAGCCCATCAGTGTCGCTCTTCACACCAGTAATGACTCTAATGATGGCTCGGCAACGGAGGAACCAATGGGTGGATGCAAGCTGATGATGGATTGTAGGGAGGAAACCACTGTCATCCCACCCAGGATCGGGCGTTTGAGTTTGAGAACTAAAAAAGGAAAGTTCCTCTCATGAGTAGTAATTGCTCACATCCAGGCTGGACTTCTGGTTGCACACCCCCAACGGTCATTCAAGTTTAATCATCCCTGGTTTTTATCCCAAATTGAATAATGGCCAGACAATCATTTTTGCATGACATCGTCATGTGAAACTGACCTTTGAGCGTCACACTGTGATATTACACGTTGGTTTTGGATTTTGTAAGGCTTCAAGTTAAAAAAACAAGAGAAAATTCTGTTTTCTACCAGGTGGCACAATTTGAGGCAATTTATCCTTGAGTCTGAGAGATTTGAAGGGAATTATGGGATATCTTCCCCTGATCTGGATGGACCGCCACAGCTGTTATTGGCACAGGAAGTGGAGCAGCTCATCCACAGAGAAGACCACCGGAGTGTTTCTACACCCTCCAAATCGAGGGCCTAAAGGCCCTGTTTCTTCAAACCAACAACACCTAATACCTTAATGGAGGTGCCCATCAATATTGCCCGTTGCCCTGGTGTAGCAACGTCTTTCCAGTCCTCCACAAAGTCGATCTATGGAGACGAGATTACAAAATGATTGAGTGTTGAGCAAAGTTAAAGGACTAACAACAGTCTTAACTCAACTAAGAACAGCCCCTGACTCAAATTTCTTGACATACTAAAGAAACTGCCGCGGTGTAGCAAAGTATCAGACCAGCATCAACGGATTAGCTTGAACTATCTCATATGAATTTGTCGGTTGGAGTTTGAATCATTCGACCAGGTTGAATTGCAATCGGATTACACCGATTGTGAGATCAAACGGAACTAAACAAGCAAACAATGGTTTATGCGTAGACATATGTGTTTGTCTTTGTATATTTCGATAGTTTGATCTGTTTTTATTCTGTAAAGCACTTTGTTCAGCTCCGGTTGTTGTAAAGTGCTATATAGATAAACAATAATTGATTGATATGTATGTCTACATGTCTATTGGTATAACCCAGTCATCTGTTTTCTTTTGAGAACAGCGTTGCCGTGACTACCGGCCCTTTCTCCTTCTGAGGGGTTGGGTCCTCTTGTGGAGGCCTGAGTCCTTGACCGTGGGGGCACTGCTCCGTTTGCCGTTTATCTTTCCGCACAGGCGGCGATAATCTGAGGAGATGAGGTCGCAGAAAGCCCTGAAAAGCTTTGTCCCCATTCACCAGCACGGTTTAAACCAAATGCGAAAGAAAGAAAGACCTGGGCTGCATGGTTTCATCAAAGCTTGACAGTAAGCGTTCCTTACCCAATGCTTTTAATGGTTTTGAGGGGTTAGTTTTCCTGAGCAAATACATGTAGACATGTAGTTTAAAATGAAAAACGAAGGCAGTTATTAAGTGGTTATTAAGTGGTTATTACAGGTGTCATGTAATTGTACTGTGTCGTTCTCCTCTGTGGACATAATCTTGTCTTGTTTCTGGGACTTGTATGTGGGGTTACTTGAAGGCATCCTTTGTTCAAACCAGGCTCTTGGTGGATGCCCGTGCTTTTCCAGGGGAGAGACTCTGGGCCAGGCCTGGCTCTGTTTGTACACAAACCACGTCACGGCGTGAGTAAGACGAAAAAAAGTCTCCACCTCCTGTGTGAGAGGACGCTCCTCCCCCTTTTCCTCCCTGCGGATCCAACTGATGCAATAAAGGGTGAGTCCCCACCCCTCCTTCACCAGAACCGAGTCTCCTCTCCGAGCGGCGCATCTCTGGAAATCTGGTTTTGTTAGTAAATAGATTCTCATTCTTTTGCTTTCACGCCTCGCTGGTTCACCGTTTTGTATTATTGTTATTATTACCATTATATCACCAGAACGTCGACCTGCGTTTTCGTTCCTAATCGGAAATCCTGTCTTTTCATTTAGCTTTCAAACAAAATTTGCCACTGACTCGTTTGTGAAAATTATCGAGGATCTTTTGATTTTTGTGAAGAAAAGAAAACCGGACACTCGTCTTTTTTTTCTTCGTTTTTTTGCCGGCCTGAAAGGATTCTAGGCATCCTGCTACATCTTCAGAAAGGTAAGTGCCGGCATTTGCTCAGTGACTGGCCGTCTGGAAAATTACCAGATGTAAGAGGGGCAGTCCTTCAAGCCATCACAAATGTGTGATGTTACATCAGCTCTGACTGCTTTTCTCATCAGGTCATTAAACGCCTCATCTGTCTTACTGGCTACGTTTAAATATGCACGCGCGATTTTCTCGTTTTAAGGTTGTATTATCAGGAATTAATAAGTAATTAATACGATTTTCAGCCATGTCTCTCCCAAAAAAAAACAAAAAAAACAATGACAACAAAAAAAAAAAACGTAATATTTTTTTTTTATTGGCCGACTATCCTTATTGTACATAAATGCACGCGGGCTGACGTTGATGCTGCACAATGTGAAATAAAAGTGTCGGAGGGCGCGTGCTCTCTTGGTGTGAATGGACTGTTAAACATCGCCGGGGCGTGAGTCAGAGCGCGAGCCCTTGCGGGGCGCGCGCGGCCCATGCCCATAAAGGGCTAGCACGTGCCTTTGTTGCTGCTCGGAGCCGGTGATGTGAAGCCAGTCATTAACAGAACACGGCTCTTTTTCTTCTTCGATTCTTATTAGCTTATTTTTTCTTCTTCTTCTTCTTCTTCTTCTTTTTTTTGGTATGAATCTGCATTTGAAAATACGTTTTTTTCTTTTGTGTACATCTGATAGTTTTATTAATCCTCGGGGAGGAGGGAATAAAATCTAGATGTGTCTATATAGTTCCTTCGTTAATGCTTGTTGTCAATGCGTGGCACCGTTTTTCGTTTTTTTTT